AAAAAAAAAAAACAAATCCTAATTATTATAGGCCCCTTATATTATGGTTTAGGCCTTATCTGGGTTACGGTTTTAGGGTCTAGGTATTTAAGGTCGGCAAAGTTTGATCTCCAACTATTCGGAGGAGCAGCGAACTTGGTCAACGAGGTTGCCCATGAGGGAAAGGTTGCTAGAATCACTTGCAACCCACTTAGTCCTGCAAGCTATTACCCACACCTTCCCGAGACAGGAGAACCCGGAAGCCCACCAAATCCATGAGCTCTAGGCTTCAATTTGACGTCTATACCCCCTACCTCAAGCTAACAGAACCTACTGGTTGTTGGATCTGGCTATAAGCTGACATGACTCTAGTATCCAGTTCATGGGCACCCAGAAAAAGTACTGTAGGGTTTTCAGTCGTTTGAAGCCACGCCCTAAGCCCTTCGTTCTTCCGAGGTTAGCGCAAGTCCCTTCAGCCAGGGCGCCTTTCGCTTCGAAGGCGGCGAGCACTGCACAAAGTCTGACACACCTACAGCGCACTACTTGCGAGCCAGCGACCAGTGACACCCTGCAGTCCCTATACGCCTTGGGGGATCATGTGGGGGTTTCCTCAAATAGGGGACCCTAATATAGTACCCTAAATAGTAGGATCCCTATTATAAGGACCCCCAAAATAAGGTACCCCTAATTTTCGGAAACTCCCACTTCTTGATCCTCCACCTTGAAAGGGATAGGCTGCGCATTTCCTTATTTTGGGGTCCTTATAATAGGGATCCTACTATTTAGGGTACTATACTAGGGTCCCCTATTTTTTCGGAAACCCCCATGTAGAGGAGCTCGGAAGTATTCAGAAGCCTCGCTCTTGTCCCCAAGCCTGGAATGATATACGTGAGTTTCCGAAAATTAGGGTTTAGGGATTAGGGTACCTTATTTTGGGGTCCTTAATAGGGATCCTATTTTTTAGGGTACTAGATTAGGGTCCCCTATTTTCGGAAACCCCCGTATCCCTTGTTCCCTCAAGCTCTAACCCGTTGTCTTTGCAGAGTATATATCCTGTGAATGCCGCACCATGAGTTTCTGCCCGGAAGTAGACGCCAATGCCTGAGCATGTTGTTCCTCGAATTCACGCCTCATTCTTTGGAGCTTGGGGGTTTACAGCTTGTTCTCTGCACCCCGACTCTAGAACAGCAGACCCTGTTCTGTCCTGCTCTTGCTCCCAGCTGCGTTCTGGCCGGAGCGCTACATGTCCTATCGGACACCCGACAAGCTGCGGATGGCCGGGAAGGCTGCGATGTGGCTTGTGTTCGGGGGCTCGGGCTGCGAAAAAAGGGTAAGGTGGACGCCCTGGTGAACAACCCCCCCACAGATGAAAAGGGATAATGCAGTACTATGGATTCTATCATCCTAGTAGAAAATCGTAGTGTAGAGATGTGTAGAGGCCCGTAGAGAAAGAGAGTCTACTAAGCAGGGGTTAACATTGATTACGTGGCACAGGCCCTATAAGCCCTAGGCTTCGTGCGGTTGCCACCCTTCAGCGAACTCTAGGCTTCGATCTATGAAAAGAAAGGGGAGGCATCTTTGTGTTGTCTTAGTAGACTTTAGTTTCCTTTCTCTGCATTCTATCTTGAACAGGCATGAAAGCATGCCGTGTTCAAGCATGGCATCTCCTTTCATGTGAGGGATGGCCTTGTCATATTCTGGTGAAAGCGGTGAGAAATGGGTGGACTTCGGCAGCCAGCTTCAGGATTTAGTTTTGTTCTGCTTCACCCTTGGGGAGGGGGAGTTCAGACGTTGAGGGTGTCGGCCTTCTGAGATATGACAGGGGTCCCAAGTGTTACCAAGTTTTAGGTCTTGGTCTTTAGACGGTTTCGGGCGTTGCGGCCTCATAGAGTCACGAAGTTTGTGTCGCAGGTGGACGAAGGAAGCGACGTTGCGGATTTCGTCCTAGTGGACTTCTCTGCAGCCGGCGGCCCATTCGGGGGGTGTCTTAAACCGTCATGTAGGTGTTCTTTACTCAGGTTGTGTTTAGTTTAGTGACTTTAATGGCTCTTAGCAGTTGGAGTCTGTGGACCCCGCTGTCTCAGAAACGCCGGTCTCGGAACGGATCTGAGAACGCAGCGTGTCCAATGCTTCAGAGCCCCTTCACGTCGAGCCCCGGGTCAAAGGCGTCCCGCCTTCGACGAAACGATGACATAGCAACATGACCTACTATGTGATCCCTTTCCTTACCCGCCCCCCTCCAAAAGTCTTCAACCGCAAACAAAACCCATGAGCCCCAAACCCTAACCGGCCCTAAACCCTCAACCTCCAGACTCAACCCATTCTTCAACCATGTAAACCCCGAGCCTCTGCCAAGGCATACAAGTACATGACCACCAGCGAGGCACTGGGTTCGCCTTGCCTTACGGCTCAGAGCTGGCTTGCGCAAAGATTTGCAGCTCTTACCCTAAGGGTCCATGTACCCAAAGAGTAACTTTGGGCCCAAAGTACCCATAAGGGCAAAGTATATACTATTTGGGCACCTGGACCCTTAGGGTTAAGGCCCTTAGCAATCCTAAACCCTGGCTCAGAGTTTAGGACTTAGGGTTTCCATGAACCCTGAACCACACATCCTAAACAACAACACTGTAATGGTCCAAATCGCGGAGAGCTAGTTGTTTAAGTAAGTGGAACGCTATACACTAAGCCTTTAGACCTTGCGTCGCGGAGTGCGAAGTTTAGTTACGCGCGTGGTGTTGGTTTCTATTGGGTTGGGTTAGGGTCCTGTTGGGTGCCTCACAGTCCCTGGTCCTTGTGTAGTGTGGTGTCTTTCCGACTTCTTCTGGAACCTACCTATAGTCTCCATTGTAGTTCCTTTTTGGGGATGCCTTACAGAATCCTTAATATATAATTGGTTAAACCAAGAAAAGGAACTACAATGGAGACTATAGGTAGGGTGAAATGTGCTAGTTGTGGGAGCCGGAGCCTGTCCACCGAGTTTACCCACGCCGATTCTCACTAGCTCAGGCATGCTTGAGGACTTGAGCAGGGGGAAAGGGGGCTATAAGCAATCTGAGCAACTTGAAACCTGCTTTGCTTTTTGAACCCGTAAGACAGGACCGCATCCTTTTCGTTTTCAGAGAGTTCAAGGTTGTCCCATACCCAACAGTTCAAGATTCATGGCTTAGGGTTTTTGAAACTGCATATCGTACTAAAGGCTCAGGTGTGGGGGCCCAAGACCTGCTGCAAAAGACTTGAAATGTCGTATTACCCTATACAGCTTAGTGAAAGGTCTTGGGGTTCAGGGTTTTTGAAAATTCATATCATACGGAAGCTTAAGAGACCTGATTAAAGGGTTTGAGTTTAGATCCTAGGTAGTCTCAGGGAGACCCCTAAAAGCGGACCCTTCTTAACCCTACTTGTGGCTCTCTTAAAAGGAACCTTATTGATAGGGTCTATGTCCCCAAGGGTCCCCTTATCCTAAGTCCTATATGAGAGAGTGAAATCCGGTATTCATCCGAAGGGCGAGAGTTCTTGAGGCCATCTCGGGCTCATCTGGCCGCTTTGGGAGACCGTATCTTGCAGCTCACAACAACCTTACGGCTTTTACTAGGGTTTTGGACTACTTTGTTGATAATCGGGAGACCGAAAATGTGCTTACAAATTATTCGGGCTGTGACAGTGTATGCAAGCTTTAAACCCTATCAAAAGGTTCTCTATGCTTACCAAAAGCCGCCCGCAGCCGTAATGGTTTAGGGTTTAAGGTTTGGCAGAGTCTGCGTTCAACAAAAAGGTTTAGGGTTGCCCTCCACCCACACCCTCAAGAAATTCACATCCGATAGAACCCTAAAGCCCTAAACCCTAAACCCTAAACCCTAAACCCCAAACCCCAAACCCTACGCCCTAAACTAAACCGCCCGGCAGGTCCTCAAGGGAGCTGTTGAAAGCCAAGGAGCAGAAAAGGGAGGCCGGCGTCGGGTTCGTTTTGAAGGTTTAAGGTTGGGGTTGCAGGGTTTAGGGTTTTAGGGTTTAGTTCGGTCAGAGTTGCGCTTTTTACGGGGTTTTCAGGGTTTAAGGGATTTGGTTTCGAGTGTTTGGGTCTGCGAATTCTGATTTTCGACTCTGTTGGAGAGTTGGCGGATTCTTCCTTGGCCTTGTACTGGTAGCGGGCTCTGACTCGCCCATAGATTTCAATTCCTTCCAAGGGCCATCAGGTCATTTCCACGAAAGCGTATAAGCGTTGTCCGGGCAAGTGTTGACAGGAACGGTACACTGGTACACGTCTCGTCCATGACGTGCTTCTTGACAGGTTTTCACGAACAGATCTGCTTGCTCCTGTGGCATGGCCAAGCTTACGTCTTGCCACGGCAATTCTGTTGTTGGTGTGCTCATCGGTGTTGTTCCTAGTCCGTTTTCTGTGATGACGTGCGTTGGTGAAGTCAGGGTTCGGGCATCCAACTTTTGGAGCCAGGTGTAGATGTAATATAGGGGCCTGAATAGTTACCTATACTACTTTTGGGGGCTCCTTATTAGTATAGCCTAGTATACCCCCAAAGCCCTATATATATTCGTGGCTTCCCATGGTGGAGCCTTAAACCCTAAACCCTAAGCCCTAAACCCCCTTAGGGTACAAGCACGGTATATGGTACGTAGGGAGCCCCTCAGTCTCTCCAAATCCGTATTTGGGATTTACCCGAAGGCCCCATAGTAGCTCCTTTTGGGGATTATTATACTAGGATCCCATTAGGTTTTCCCAAAAAGGAACGACTATGGGGCCTATGGGTAATAGTGTTTAAGGTTATAAGGGCTAGGGTCTAGGGTTTAGGTAGGGTTTAGGTTAGGGGGGCTTCATTATGGGTATAAAAGAACCCGCTACCCGAAAAGGACAGGTACATGCACCCCTGGACCCATCAGCGGAGAAAAGCGTTCGGCGGCAGGCTTCGTGAAGCTCAGTGATCTGCGAGCAGACCTCAGCGTGGCCTTCTCAGCTTGGCTTGGGCTACGAGTGACTAGGTTTACGGGTCTAGCACAGGGCTGAGAGTTCCATACCTTCAAACCCTAAACCCTAAACCCCTAAACCCCTAAACCCTAAACCCTGGACCAAAACCCTAAGTCACGAAACCCTCATCAAACCTTCACGATGGGGTGTGAGGATTAAGGCTGGTCGTTGCCCATTCCTGGAGGATCTAATACCTAGCTCCCTCCTTTTGTGGACCCTATGCTAATAAAGGGAAGCCCTGGAAGGAATCCTTTAAAGGAATCCATAAAGGAGCTTTTACGCCTTAAACCTTAGACCCTAAACCTTCAAAGGAACCCCACAAAAGAGCTAAGCCCTAACCCTTAAACATCCTTAAACCCTAAACCCCTAAAGGAGCCCCTTGAAAAGGGAGCCCTTAGCTACTTTTTTGGGATCCTCCCGGGTCTAGGACATTTTCAGGTGGGTAGTTACCCTTATAGGAGCCTTAAAGAAGGTGCTCCCCACCTGTACTTTCCTTTAACCTAAACCCTAAAGCCTAAATCCCTTTAAGGAACCCTAAAGACCCCCCTTTAAGGAACCCTTTAAAGGAGCCCTAAACTCCCCACCTGTACTTTCCTTTAACCGGGGTCTGGGTGACGACGGGCTCGGAGTCGCCAGGAGCTCCAGGTTCTGTGGAGTTGGACTCTGGGATTCACAGGGGTTCACAGGGTTTAGGGTTTAGGGTTTAGGGTTTAGGGTTTAGGGTTTAGGGTTTAGGGTTAGGGGTTCACAGGGATTTCTAAGGGTTTCATCTAGGCTTTATAGGGATTTGCAGGTTCCTAGGGATTTCTACGGGTTTTTGACAAAGAATTCATAGGGTTCATAGGCTTTCATGGGGATTGCTAAGGGCTCCTAGGGATTCATAGGGTTTTCACAGGGATTCATAGGGGTTCATAGGCTTTCACAGGGGTTCAAGGTTTCATAGCGGTTCATGGGGTTTGATTGGGGTCCAAAGGTTTTTATCAGGGTTCATAGGGGGTCATAAGAGTTCACGATTAAGGATTCCGTAAAAGTTGTTTAGCTTTGGGGTTCAGAAAGGGTTCTGCACAGGTTTGTAGCCTTCGGATTCAGACGCCTTCGGAAAGAGCACTGTAACTCTTGCTTCTAGGGTTTTTCTTAGGATTTAGTGGGCTCCAGCTTGTAAAAGTCTAGGTGTACATCAGCCTACTAAACCCTAAACCCTAAACCCCTAATAGCCTAAACCCTAAACCCTAAACCCCTAAACCCCTAAACCCTAAACCCTAAACCCTAATATGCACGTCTTATCAGCCAACTGTGAGCGTTCTCCCGATGCTGCGGGATACCCTTTGAGGAATAAGGGCCATCCTCGGGCCCCCATGAAGGCTCATTGAATAAAGGAGGCAAAATAGCTAGAATATGGTCTTGGGGTATTTGATAAATTTGCTATAACAGCGAGCCCTATAAGGAATCATTGTGGGAATTTTAGGAATTTTTCTGCGATTCTACAGTAAGCCTCCGACTCCGAATGTAAGGCCCAGTGAGAAATATACAGCTTCGGCTCAGCGTGTTCTTCGTCTGTACCTGGACCCCAAAAGTATGTAGAACAATAGCCCTTTATAGGTTTTGGGCCATTTGTTTTCCTACTTTTGGGGCTTTAGGTAGTCTTTTCTTCAAGGTCGGGCGCGCCGATACCATGGCACGACCTTTTTGCATTTAGGGGGTTTAGGGTTTAGGTTTTAGGGTTTAGGATTTAGGGCGTAGATTCGAAGCCACGCACATCCCTGCGCGATACTGAAGATGCACCTAGTTTAAAAGGGAGCTAGGGAAGTAGCTCAATCCCCCAACTTGCCACTTGGCACTTTGTTTGTTTCCTGTGGTTTTCTACTCGAAAAGGTTAGTGTCGTTACCGTCAACATTCCTCGGACCGCTGAGTCAGGACTTACTTTATAATATATTTCCTGGAGCCCTGCGCCCTAAATCTTACACCCTCAACCTCTGCCCTTGCCTCTGAACACTTGGAAGCTTTCTAAGGTCAGCGTTTAGAAGGAATACTGGCAGAGCTCGATAGAAATCGTGTCGGAACCTTATTTAAGAACCCGGAGGAAGAGCAGAGGCCTATGAACCAGCAAAGCCCAATACTATAAGGGCCTCAACAATTACCTATACCTCTTTTGAGGGTTTCTTACTTTTTTTGGTATAATGGGCCCCGACACCCTATTCTAATTATTAAGGCCTCTACATTATGCGCCAAGGTGCGACTTTATTTCCAGCAGATGTTGGGCAGCACGGTGCGAAGCTCACCTTGCGGATGAACGTGTTCCACCTTTGCGTATGCGATACCAATATCCATGCCAATACTAATACTATCTACTAACAATGAATACTAACACTTGTCCTTGTCCTTATCCTATCCTATCCTATACTAGACTATACTATGAGGTGTCTGGATGAAAGAAGTGTCGGTCTTCTTGACTTTCGAGCTTCTTGTCAGCTTTCGCAGCCTCGAACGCTCCCATCGTGCACTCTGCAGACCTACCTTGCCCGCCATGGCGTCCGCAACTTCCACCGATGCCGTCGTGGACTACCAGGGCTTGGGCCATAAGCAGGCTCAGTCCCGCAAGTGGCTGGGTTGCTGTTCAGGAATTTACATAAGTTAAGTTTACGTTAATTACCATATCTGGGATATGTAGTACATAGTAAGGTTTTCTTCTTATTCTGACTTAAGTTAATAAAAGTTCCTTGACAGCGACGGGATAGGGGTTTAAAGCAAACGGTTTAAGGGGTCCAAAATATTTAAGGGATCAACTCCTAGAAGCAGAACACAAGGCAAAAGACAACGGAACAACGCGAAGCATAGACACCTGTCGCCGGGATCAAAAAAACGACTCCAAGCAGAATCAAGACAGGAGGACGGAAAGAAATAATAAAGACAGAAATAAATAGCAAAGAACAAATTCAAGCACAGAAAGACGGACAGCAATTCAGATCGGAGACAAAGAAAGACACATAGAATGAAATAAATGACTTAGGAAAGACAGAACAAGAGAACGAAGAACGAATTAAGCAGTTAAAGAAGACGAGATATCATTTCGAAAGAAAGACACCATAAACAAATACAGAAAGAAAGAAAGAAAGAAAACAAGAAAGAAAGAAAGAGACAGCAATTCAGCGCAGCGAGAAAGAACACCGAACACAAACGAATGAAGCAAGAAAGAACGAAATACCAGCACTCCAGCACAGAGTTAGACCCGTTACTAAGGATCCTAAGTGATTGTAAATGTTCTTGCCTTCTTGAAAATAATCTAGTTGCTTAGGCCCATGCACTTTCTGCAGACAGCAAGCATAAGCAACAAATCCTCTAAAACCACCGAAACCTTCACTCCCACAGATTCATTTCTTGTGTTTTCTCAGGGTGATAACGATGACGATGATGACGATGATGATGAGGGTGTATATGCATATGTGTAAATGTTTTCATGTACATGTATAGGGACATGTATTTGCCTATGTAACAACATCTATATGTTTATCTGTACATGTGTCGTTATGTATATATGCATATACACATGTGTATATGTGTTTATGCATATATGTAGCATGTACACATATATATATATATATATAATATCACGCAAGTATGTGCTAGCGCATGGATTACTGTCGTGTGTTTCTGCTGTTTTCGGGGTTTGCTCTTCCGGTCTTTGGGGGGTGGGGGGGGGGGGTGGTTGATAACGTCCAGTTTGCAACCATCATCATGCTGCTACTTTCTGTGTCGCGGAGAAATGAATTCCTCGGTATTTACAGGCTCCGGCGTGTTTTAAGCGAGCATGTGTGCGAAGAAATCTGCAGACTCCTTCAAGCATCTTCCCCCTAAGACCCTCCACACGACAGTAACTAGATAGTCCCTCAGCCCGAAAATAAGACCCAATACATAAACTTCCGCTCCCGTCGAAAACCGCTAGTTTCAAGCTTAAAACGCGCCAGAGCCTGTAAATACCGAGGAATTCCTAACCTGTACCGTCCGATGTGGCATTTATTTTTTGTCCCCAGAAATCGTGCTGATACCACACGTTTGCTAGCACTCAAGCATAACGTAGCGCTTTTTTTACTACCCAAAACAACCTTAAAATGTGCTTAAAAGTGCAACGACAAAAACCATGCGGCGGGAAGTATGTGTGTGCACACATAGAAATATATATATATATATATGTATATACATACACATATAATATATATATATATATATACTTATATGTGTATGTATATATATATATATATATATGTAAACATGCGTGTGTGATTTTAGTTACATAAAACAAATGTACATCCACATTTGTATGAACCCGTCCCTCGCCCCCACCCGCGCTGAAAGAGCCAAGGCAAGCATGGAACAAGCGAACATGGTGCACACATATAAGCCACTGCGGATATTCAATTCGAGCCATGCAAACCTGCTTCGAAGCATGGCGCGCCATCAATGCACATTCCTTTACGCAGACTTTCTACGAGCAATCTGTTTGCAACTGTGGGGGGCTGTGCCCCAACCCCCCCCGCCCCCGGCTCTTCTTTTCAACTTTAAGCCATGCGAATTTGCTTGAAAGGACAGTTTGCCATCAACGGACATTTCTTCATGCAGCCTTTCCAAGAAGCCAATCATCCGCCCCGCACCATGAAGCCGTATGAACCTGCTTCAAAGAATGGCATGCCATCAATGGACGTTCCGTCACGCAGCCTTTCTATGAGCATTCTGTTTACAAAAGGGGGAGGGGCTTCGCCGCCCCAATCCCCCCCCTCCCCACCCGCTTTTTGTTATTTGTAAGCCGTGCGAACCTGCTTGTTATGACGCACCCTTCTAATGGACATTGTGTCAAGCAGCCTTTCTATGAGCATTTTGTTTGCAAGTGCGGTAGGCACTCCCTCTTTGTTTGTTTTGCCAAGCTGGCTTCTTTTCAAGAGCGACGTGCTGTGCCCTCCCGTTCTTTTGCTAAACAGAGAGTGAGACCAGCACCGCCGGCCGTGATGAGAGCGTCTGAAAATGCGAGAAGTGGCCTTCAGCAGAGTGATAAAAGTGCGCAAACCATGTATTCTCAAGGCAACTGTTCGTTGTTTCTTGATTTGTGCGTGGCCTTCATTGGTATGTGTGTTTGGCGGGAGGAGGCAACAATAGCTTGAAACAAATAGCAAGGTCAGAAGGCTTTCCCCCGAGTACTAATCAGACGTGTTTTCCGGGGTCGCTACGAGGACGCTACTGTAGAATTGCCATGAAGTGTGCGGTCTGTAGAATAGAAACTTCAACGAGGACGCCATTGTCTCTGATGCAACTCCCACGCTTGCTACGAGGACGCCAGGAGGATGCTACGCGAGAACATACAGAAATTTCTACAAGAACGCTACTGTCCTCCCAGCGCCCTCGTAGCATGCAGTAACTTTTACGTGTCCTCTAAATGTTCTCCTAGCGTGCGAGCTTGTTCAAAGTTGCATTGGAGGGATTCCGGAAGCATGTCAAGAATGGAGTGAGGGGATGTGCTTAAGATATATGAGGGAGCGTGTTTAATATATGATGATGATGGTGATGGTGATGATGATGATGATGATGAGAATGATGATGGTGATGGTGATGCTGGTGATGGTCATGGTGATGGTGATGATGACGGTGATGGTGATGATGCTGGTGATGCTGCTGATGGTGATGATGATGATGATGATGATGATGAACTGGACTTGCCAAATCAGCAGGCATGTTTAAGACATACGGTGTACCAGAATCGCCAAATGAGTCAATGAGCGGCCGGGTTTAAGATGTAGGATGAATCGGAATCATCGGCATGTGACGGGGCATGTTTAAGATAGATGATGACCCGGAACCGCCAAACGACGGAGCGTGTTTAAGATATATGATGAACCGGAATCGCCAAATGAGGGGACGTGCTTAAGACATATATGTTAGCAGAAAGAAGAACGAACGAACACACACACACACACATACACACACTTGCAGTGCCGGTCTGTGCCGGTTGTTGTTTTCGTTATTATTTCCTTTCTTCTGTCGTTCACTGTCTTGATCCTTTTATTTCTTATTAACTAATTGGTTTTTACATGATGGGAGCCTGCGAAACCTGAACAAAGATCACAAGAATCAAATTTAGATGCCATACACGACTCTTAAACATTTGGGCACCTCAAAGCTCTTCAGTCGCAGCTCTGCAGTTACGTGGAGCAAGCGTCCTTGATCCATATCAGTCACAAGCATGGCCCTCTTCATCGGACCGTCAACCGTGCTTGCGAGACGGTCCCCCTGCTGTTCTTTGTTTACTTCAGACAAACATAACGGTGCATCAGATTTCGAGAATGACTCTCATTACGACTCACAGTCCTTAGGAACAGGATTTCCACACACACACACACACACGCACCCGGGCGCGGCCGCAATGCTTTCCGGATCAGAGCCAAGAGGCTCTCCCCCAAGTATTGGCGCTTTTCAGGCACGGAACCAAGATTCTCACGCACGGCAAGAAAGATTCATGCCCGGAGATCTAGCGGGTTTTGTTGGACTGACAAAATGTTTTCCCAATGCAGTGGCGGGATTCCGGAAGCAAGCGGAGGGCAAACCCTCCAGTTGGAACGAGCGTTATCCTGCTCCTCTCTATTGTGCTTACCAAACAGGAATAGTTTTGTCCCTTGAACAGTTTTTCACCTTTTAATTAGCCGGCCTGCTCTCTATTTTGCTTATAAATTGGGGAATAGCTTTGTCATCTGTTGTTTTTTTGATGCCTCACCCCTTACGCAGGTGGTACATCCTCGGTGCCGGCCTGGCGATGCTCGCTGTCGCTGGGGTCGTTGCCATGGTCTCAGGCCACGACGCGATGTTTTCCTCGAAGCTGAAGGGCACCATCCAGGCAGGGTTTAGGCTTTAATTATAGGGCTTAGTAGCACGAGCCAGTTTCAAATGGGTTTAGTCATCCAGGCCGCCGAGACCTGGGAGGAGCTGCCAGGTATTGACAAGGTCGTCCGCAAGGCCCAGAGCTTGAAGCAGGACAAGCCGCTGCGCAATCTTCAGGCTCTACAAGGCCATTGACTACGATGGGCTTGAGTGCCCGAACAACTCGCCTGTTGGATGCGCCGCCAGTGTCGCGGGCTTCATCACATCCATCAGCTGGATCGCCTCGTACCTGTCCTTTGCAGCGAACGCCTGCGGCCAAGCTGTCAATAACGGTGCGCTGTGTGCTGGCGACTTCACAGCTCTCATGGCCAACTTCGGCGAGATCGCCACCGTGGGCGCCGCTGCCAGGGCGGACTGCAACTTCGGTAAGAACGCCCTCCAGATCCTCACACGAACGGAGACGATCTCGCCTCCCTGGAAGGAGTTCGTCCCGGCGGGAGCCTCGCCGGCGGTCGACAAGGCCTTGAAGATCAAGGGGCACAAGGACCAGCAGCGCAACCGTGACTACGACATCGTGCAGTGCGCCGTGGACGTCACCAACTCCGCTTCCTACATCGTTCGAGTCATCCTCCAGATTCGCGCCGCCGGCAGCGCCTGTGCGGACCGGAAGTCCTGTGCGGTTGGCATCATGAACATCATCTCTTCCTTTGCCTGGATCTCCCAGTTCACGGCCCTCGCCGTCTCGGACTGCCAAGTGGGTGCCGACCAGAAGGCTCTTTGCACGGCGGACATCTCCGACATGGTGGCCGCGCTCACCAACGGTCCGGCTGCCGGCATTGCCTCCACCTCGGATTGCGCTGACCTCTAAGCTGCCTCATAGGTGGCGAAAGAGCCGCGCCTGAAACGTTTTGGCGTGATGGTTGGAGACCGTCACTGCAGTGGCTCCGACCTTTGAAGTGCTTTACAGCGTATGGGTATAACTTTGGGCTTAGGTGTCTACCTGAACCTTGACACCTATAGACCCTAAACTTTACATATCCCGTTAAACCCTATAGACCCTCAACAATGTTTCGTTAAACCCTACAAGCTCCCAACCCTATATCTTCAAGGCGAAAAAAATACATCCTAACACTTGCATATGTCGGTGCTTATTCAAAGGTTCAGGTGGCCGCTGCTGGAGGACCTTTCGGCATGCAGAAGTGGCTGCCGGGTCCGAATAGGGGCTTTCCAGGCTAACCTGTGCGGAGTGCCTCTCTACATCTGGGGCTGACAGAGAAGGTTTAGGCAGCACGCTTGAATATGGTTGAATCATTCGATGGACTGTTGGCCCCATACTTTTCAGAAGACTGACAGCACTACTCAGGGAGTTCTTTCTATGTAAGGGTTTGCATGTACGGCTCTGAATTCAAGAGGTTCTAAGTAGTACGTGCTGTCTCTGTACTGCAACCGTGCCTCTGCAGCGTCCCTTGGCGGGTTAAGTAGAAGTCTAGAGTTTAGGTGTCCTAAGCCCTATAAACCCTAAGCCCTAAACCCTATAAACCCTAAACCCTAAACTATAGGGTACTTCTATTTGACGTTCCGGCTGCCGGCTTTCCGGCGCCTTGCAGAGCGCACTCAGACTCAATGAAATCCCTTCGGCAGCACTGCGAAGACCGTGCGCGTAACATAAGGCCGACTGCGAAACGTGAGCCTCATCAGGTTCGTCGGAGTTTTAGAGCGTTAATGAGCATAAGTGGCATCTCCAGTATCACAGTCGCTAGTGCGTGCAGCGCCTTGCAATTATCGGATCTGTCGCAACTGCTAATTTGCTTCATATCAACTTGACTTCGTGTTGGTTTTTAGCTGAAATAGGGGTGTGTGGCCCTCGTTTTATATGTATTTAGGGTCTCATGATAGAGGATAGATGGAGGGGTCTAGGTTCGCGAGAAAGGCAGATGTGACCATCCGTCTCTGCAGGTGTTGAGGTTTGTGTCCCTTTTTTGGCTTTGGGCTTTAGAGGCTAACAGAGATCCCGAATGATTAGACACGTGTTGAGGTCTGGAACAACAAGGACTTCGAGACCTTCTTCGAAGGTCACTACGAAGAGACTTGCTTTGATCTTTGCATTTGGGTTTAGAGCCCTTTTGACTGAGTGCAGTTCAAACAATTGCACCAGTCTGGATCTGTGCTCTCTTGTTCTTGCAAAAGGGGAAGCTTCATTCAGAGCATCCGCAGTTAGAAGCAAAGCGCAAGCAGCTAGCCTTGGACAACCCAGAAGAAACAATGAAGATGCGAACTCGTTGGTCCATGCCGGCTGACTTGACCAAGGCTCCTTCCTTGTCGATCTAACTCTCCTGCCCCACGTCCTACACGTGTGAGTTCGACGCCCCTATAAACCCCAAACAACCCCAAACCCCTGATTCTGTCCTGTGCTCATGGAGGGCAGGGTGTGACATTGCGACGCCCCGGTACTTTTGTGTTGTGAGATGGGCACCTTTTGCCGTTTTTGTTGGGGACTGGTTTGAGTGCTCGAGTCTTGGTGGATAGCCTGCTATACGACCTTGTTGCCACTGAGCTGTTGGAACCAGGCACCACTAATGAATTCAAGCATAGTTGGTACGTAGGACCAGTACTGGTCGTAGTAGCTCTAAATAGTCTATCGGTGGTAGGATTGAGGATCCCTAAAGCGCCAAACCGTCACCCTCAGAAGGCAAGTCCCACAGCCCTTGCACATTCTCCTAGAGCTGCCGAACCAAGGAATGGGACTTCGACCAAAAGCCTCTTGGCTCAGCAACTTGAGATATGCCGCAACCCCGAACTTCTATTAATCAATGTTTGGGGGTTATGGGGGTTATAGGTTGCAACCTTAGACGCCAAACTCTGAACATTCATCTCTGCTCGTAAATACCCTATGGGCACGAGGGGTGGATCGAGGTTACACAGCTGTAACGGGTACGGATTTTCAGGAGGAGTCTCGAATACTGAACCATGGGACAGAAGTGTGGGCCAGTCTCTCAGTATGTGCTGTCCACAGCGCCGAACTGTTGCAACAGAAATAAGTTCTGAAGTCAGTAAACCCTAAACCCTAAACCCTAAACCCTCAGGGCTTTCGAGGTGAAGAGCTTCATGTTGGGCTTGCTGACGGCCTTGCTTGCTGGGGTTTGGGCTGTGGTGATAACCACTCAGGTGTTCCGAATAACACCTACTCTAGTTCTGACAGGTAAAGTTTAAGCTTTGGATTTTTGGTTATAGGGACATACAAAACCCTACCATGCCGTAAAAGTCAAGTTTCGTCCCTGCTAGGGTATTCAGCCGTGCCGAATCGTAAAGAAAAAGCCAAGGAAGTCCCGCGTCCGCATGCGACCAGATGGACCCCTGATGCCAGAGACTCATTGTCAGGTTTTGGGTTTAGGGTAGGTTGGGGTTGAGGGTGGGGGTTTCGGGCTTACAGGCTAATATCACATATGTATGTATATATATATATATATAGATATATACATATATATGTTTAGGCTTCAGGCCTCGCAGCCAGATGAAGTAGCTTGAACCCAGCATTCTGCAGCCACACAGGGTGCTCAATGTGTGCTTACCCCTGGGGATCTCGTCTGCGAACTCGCCGAATAAGGCGACAAGCTTCGACACAGCCCACAGCCACGGTAAGTCGTGGCCTCAGAAGGTCTTTTCCGGGTTCAGGGTCGGCACCGACACCGGCTTCCTTGTTTCATGACGGGAAGTATAAAGCCCGAAACGTGGAGCAGCCAAAGTCACAGCGCTCTCGGCATCACACTTTCACCTTTTGCACCACGCGCAACCGTAGCCAACGGCATCAGCCGCAAAGTTTGACATTCAAAGCGAATTCATTTCAACTTATTTGGCTTCCCCGTTTCATTCTGCGGTTCATTTCGAACTCTGACATGATCTACCTCGGCAGGGCCTTCCTCTTGTGCAGGATGCTTGAGCCTTTGGCACAAGTCACTTGCCTGAAGGCACGATGCAAGTTGCATGCAGCAACAATGATTAACCGTGCTCCGCGGTTTCTCTGTACCGCGCCCCCCACCCCAATCCTACTACACTTAACCCGAAACTCCCTTTTTACCGCTTTAAGTGGCCACTTGGCAAGCCTATTTCTAGCCATGTGACGCTCTGGTGCTAGTGCGAATTGGCTTGCTCCCAGTCTTTCAAGGTGTCTTACTGGTTTTATTGTCTTTTAGAGGAGCCTCAATCATTAGATAAAACTTTCAAGGTGTACTGTGATATGGCCTTCCAGTCCCATATTAGTAGTAGTTTATGCTACCGTAAACGGCATATCACGACCCAGTTCAGCTTAAATCCAATCATCCCCTCTGTGCCCATTACCCTGCACATGTGTCCCTGACAGCATTGGGCACCAAGCGGAAGGTAAACCCTAAGCCCTACACCAGGTAATGGGGGTGACCAGTCCCCCGTTCCGATGGAAACGGAGTCCAGTGGGCTTGCCGAGAAGCTTAGCCGGGCACCGAAGTCATTAGGGTTTGTCCTGGTTTGAAGATAGGCGAAGTTTCCTCTGGGAGGCTTAGATGGGGTTTATAGGGTTTAGGGTTTCGGGTTTAGGGACTTGAGACATCGTGCATGGGGGCTAGATTGAGTGTATAGGGTTTCGGAGTAGCTGCATCTGCTTTAGGGCTTCGAGCTTAGTTCCAAAAGGGGTTTCGGTGTTGTTTGTGTAGCTGTCAAGGTCGATGGACCAGTGGAAAGGATTGGTTTCAGATAGTATATCTGAGGCAGTCTACTCATTGCTCCTTGACAACAGGCCTAATTCACGCCAATCCCCTAAACCCTAAACCCTAACTGTGGCGACGCGCCCATGCACGCCAGCCAGCTTTGGTCTGAAGATCCGACAGGCGTCGAGTTGCAATCCTACGTTTGCGGAGCTTCGCTATGTAACGGGGTTTAGGATTGAGGGTTTAGGGGCGTTGTGCTGTTCTCTTTACCTTCTGCGACGGTGCGACGGCTTTGCCTCAGTTGATTTCATTTTGGGCCCTGCGTTGTGCCTCGCTCCCCGCCCTGTGATTGACAATCGCCCGAGTATGAGCAAAGGTTCTGCACTTTAGCAGGCTCTTGAAGGGGGAGGTGGGGACTACCCATAGGCCTCATAGTCGTTCCTTTTTGGGGTTCAAAATTAGAATCCTATAAGGTAATCCCAACAAGGAACTATGGGGCCTATGGGTGGTGGGAGAAAGGAATATGTAAGTTCCCCCCCCCATTGTCGTTGAAGGTTTTATGTTCAGCAGTTCAGAATGACATCCCTGTCAGCCTGCTGGATCGTGTTTTCGGTTCCTGTGTTCTACGACCTTGCACTATACTATAGTCTAGCCTTATTTTAAATAATCTATAATCTAATCCATTATAGTAGAACATAGCACTACCATTATCCCATCAACCCATACCCTGCAAGCAGTGAGTCGCGTCCATGTCGCCGGTGCAACCGTTGGCTCAAGACTATCGCCATGGCCACAGCCGGGACCCCCGAAGCGGGCGTCGCGGCGACTGGACTGCACCCGAAAGCCCGAAACTCTGATAGTTTTGACTCAGGTCGCGTTCAGCTGTCTTCGGAGGTCCTCGGGCAATGCGGGAAGCAACACCCATGACATCGGCTTGGCAGCCGATACACTCAACACAAGCTGCAGACCCACCAAAGCCCTAAGCTGGCCCTACACCGCAAGCACAATCAAGTTAGCCGCCTGGAGGCCCCAGAGTCTGAGTCAGGCTCCCGGATGCCGCAGCCGCCCACCAAACCGCCAATTTTTTCAGCGCAAGCCGATGCAAATCTCACACCCCAGGTGCAAGGTGAGGGCCCCGATCTGCAGATCCCCGCAAGCTCAGAAGAAGCCCCGCAACAGCGACTGCAGATTCGTAGCTGGCAGAGGTGAGCGGTTCTCTGAAGGTCAGCCCCTCTCAGGGTACTGGGATTAAAAATACATTATATCGCCTAAACGAGCGACTTGAAACCCGGAAGCCCATACCTATGATTTAAGGCTTCAGGTCCGTCGGGCTGGTGAGTTTTGGATCTGCGGTTTACCCATAGGCCCCATAGTAGTTCCTTTTTGTGGCTTGTATTTAGGATCCTAGTAGATAATCCCAAAAGCTCCAGCCACGTTCCGGGGAGGAATGTTGCGAAAACCGAGAGTCCGTGAACTCCTCTAGCCTGATAACTTTGAAAAACAATAGAGATCCCGTAAACCCTTAACCCTAAACCCTGAGATTTGAACCATACGAGGCACGGCCCAGCCAAGTCGCATCGCGGCCGTCGACGGCAGTGGCTTGGCCACAGCTTCTGTGTGTTGTGCGAGCCCAGTTATTCTAAGATGCGGCGGGGGGGGGGGGGGGCCCAAAATATTCACCGATACTATTTCGGGTGGTTCCTATATTCTTCGAGTTATAGTCGAAAATACCCCGGAACCCTATCCCTAAACCCTAAACCCTAAACCCTAAACCCTAAACCCTAAACCCTAAACCCTAAACCCTAAACCCTATTCTAGCTATTAAGGCCCCCTCTTTACGCTGCCAGCTGCAGGCTAGGAGTCTTCAGGTGCGGCTCAGAGATTGGAGGTTCGTGAGTGATTTAGGGGCTTTGGGGCTTTGGGGCTTAGGGGCTTAGGGGTTTAGGGTTTGGGGTCTAGGGTTTAGCGGCTTAGGGTTTAGGGCTCTTAGGGCTTAAAGGGTTTAGGGTTTAGGGTGTAGGTCTAGTTCGGAGGAGCCATGGGTTTCACAAGTCGGGCTATCAATGTTGTTGGCTGGTAATATTGCAAGCCAGCCCGCCCGAAGAGGGCCAACCACGGGACATCAAGCTGTTTCGAGACACCAAATGGGAGTTTCCGAAAATAGGGGGCCCTAATATAGTACCCTAAATAGTAAGTCCCTTATTATAAGGACTACCACAATAAGGTACCCCCCCGGAAACTCCCAAATACACCGTACTCTTCGCCTGCAACTTGCTTCAGTTCGTTCATGAGCGCTTGAGGTAAGAAGTAGCCGGCTGCAGACGCTTGGCCAGCACTGGGACAATCACGATGGGGGTTTGACGGTAGCCTCGCCCTAGATGTTTGCCGGTCCGAGAAGACTCAGATCCCTAAACCCTATATACATAAGCCACGAAAGACTGCTGTGGAGTCTTGAAGTTTAACGGGGTGACAACCCCAAGATGTTCACATCGGGTTTTGAAAAGGCGGGCTAAGGCTGGTTAGGCTACAGCCCAAACGAAGAGATGGACTGCAGGTTTTGGCCGAGGGATTTCAATGTGCACTGTTTAGGCTTCCCTCAACCCTGAGGATTTCGGCCCGCGAAGCAACACCCCATCTAGCCCAATTACCGAACCCTAAAAAGTGCAGAGGTTTTGTGCTTAGTGCTTGCATGCTGTGACCTCTGCAGTTATCGGCCCAGAAGTCCCTAAGCCGCGAAATGTAGATCCGAACACGAAACATAGTGGTCTGACTAATTAGGGTTCAGTTTAGGGTTTAGTTTAGGGTTTCAAGGTTTTAATTAGCACATATAATCGGGCCTCGGAGCATATGAGAACCCTATATGTGAGGAGGTATGGGCGGGCATTGTTAAAGTATCCCAACCCTAGACTACAGCCCTAGACGTCTTAGATTCCCACAACCAAGGAAGTCAGGATCGGCTTCGCACTCGACCAAGACGCTTGCCATCAGTTGTTTGGATCGAGTGCTTACAGCGCTTGGCTTCCCGAGATTGGTTTATCGGTTTATGGTGGGGAGGGCTTCGCAGTTTCTACGATGTCTGTGCCAATGTTCGGTTTGGAGGGGTAGACATCCTCGTGAGTATAGTTATCCATCATCCTGAAGGCAGGGACTGATTTTGTTGCAGTATCTAGGATTATCTAAGCTTTGCTTCTTATCCCCGAACCTGAACCAGATACTCCACATCCTACAAGCTAGCTACCTTAAAAGCCCCATAAGGTTCCACTGAGCTGAACCCTAGACAAGGTTTCACTTCTAGGTGCTATGCTATGATTTTCCCCCGCTTTCGTATCCCCGGACGAAGAGATCGGAAACCGGACACCCTAAACATCAAGTGCGGCAATCCGTGAACCGTAGATCCTGTAAACCGATAGGCACACGACAAGGAACAAGCTACGAATCCTCAGCCCGAATTACCATAATTCAAGCTTAGTAGGTTACATACTTGAACTAGTCCCGACAAGAGCCTTACAACTCATTTGCGAGCCGTAGCAAGAGCCCAGAAAAGAAAGTAACCATATATAGGGTGCTGAATGACCAGTTACGCTTACTTGCTATTTGTTTTGCTATGGCGTACCGGAAAACTCTTTTCTGAGCATTGAACCCCCTATATTGGAAGCCTTATCGGAACCCTTGTGGCGTCCCTTATGGAACCCTCAAAAGGAACCTCAGTGTCCCTTTTGGAACCCTATCAAAATCATGACGACTTGGATATCGCCCCTAAGCCCTAACCCTCACCCCCCCTAAACCCCCCAACCCTAAACCTCACAACCCCTAAACCCCTCAACCCAACCGTTTATGAAGGCCCCGCTACTAGTTACTAGCCCTAAGTCTCAACCCAGGAGCTTCGAGAATGAGGCAGGTCTTCAAGCTCCACGGCTCTTTGGACAGCAGAGATCCGAACCCCGAACCGGGGTTTAGGGC